TAATAGTGAAGAGGTGATAGGAGGATATAGGAAATGTGAATAGCCCAGGACAGAAGGAGAGGTACCACAACTGTTTAGCGCACGTTTTGTCAACGGATCGACTTTACGTGTCTCTTTGACGAGTTGTAATGTGGTACTAAGAATGGCAAGACTCACTGACGATGCCGGCGAAACGTCCTAGAATGTACCACATCCACGGTCCAACTTTGAGCATGATGATGCATACAATGGACTCAGGACAAGGTGTGTTCCTCTAAGTCTTCTGACCAATATGACCAAGTTGTGAAACAAGGTAAAACAACCTTTATACAACGGAAGGAGACTACGACCACACAAAAGGCCACACCATCTCTTTCTTCATATTTTCGATACATTTTGACTGTTAGCCTGCATCCCTCATAAAAACGAGACCCTCATTTGTACAATCCCATGTCTATTGATAAAAGCCTCACACGATTTTGCATCCTACAAGACTCTAACATGCCAATCCCAAATCATAAATATCGCAAAGCATCAGTAAGCTCACACGTAACTGAAATTTACCTTACACGTTTTTTTGTTGCTATTAATTGGTAAATCTTCTTCCGTATCAAGAGATTGAAGGCATTATCAAGTTGACACCATTCCAGAAAAATAAAGAAGCTCGCTTTGGAATTGTGGCTGAGGATTTGTGTGAAGAAGTACTTGGCTGAACTTCCGTTCACTATGTTGTCGCAGGACGATGGCCGAGGGCTTCAATCCAACAATCTCTACTCAAAGGCAATTATTCTTCGGTTTCTAGTGAATTCTAACCTAATTTTCCTTAGAATAAAAAAATCAAAGTACATTGAAGAAAATTATTTTGGTCCATGTGCATGGTGGGGATTTTCTCGTCGTCTGGCAAGGTACAAACATCACTCTAACCCGAAGTAGAAGAGTCTTTTTTGATGCCTAACACTGGAAAATAAGTTAAATCATAAAGTTTACTTAGTGTTGGTTCGAACTTGCTTTCGCAACTTGGTAGGAGTGTCAAGGAGACCTTGTGGAACATACCTAATCCTGTATCCTCTTACACAGTATATGTGATTTATAGCATTGGAACATTGGCTCGGTACATTCTAAACGTTTCGCTGGTATCATCAATGAGAGATGCTATCTTCAGCACAGAGTTTAGAAATGAAAAGTTCTAATTCTGTAATGAAGATGATACCTCTCACTGACGGTGCAGGCGAAATGTTTGGGGATGTATTAAGTCAATAGTCCCGTGCTGGGAATCACATATACTACGTCAGAGGACACAGGATTAGGTATGTTCCACAAGATCTCCCTGACACTCCGACCAAGCTGCGAAAACAAACTCGGACCAACACCATTAAGTTAAAGAAAAAGGTCACACCATCTTGGCCTTCATATTCACGACATAAAGTCTTCTCTTCACTTCGTTACGGGTATGAAGATTGTTAATCACACTAGTGATGGATCTTGTTAGTAAAGCCGACTGGCTTGATGAAAAGTACTGTCATGCGACCGGGTATAAAGAGGCTTGTAGGATAGAATTCGAATCTTTAGAGGTGGTATCTAGAAGCAGCTAACGAAGTTATACTCAAAATATCTTCGTCTAAAATAGCACACATAAATGTACCTACCTGCCATATTACTCTTAATAGTCGCCAGCATAGGACCTCACACATTAGCAGACTTTGCTCAAACTCCAACGGTGTGAGACGATTGGGGATGTACAAGTAAATGGCTCGATGCTGGCAGGTAGTGTGAATGGTATGGCAACCGAATGGGTCGTGGAAAGATCCTAACTTCAGCCTGAATGGCCAGCGCCGCAGGAAAGCGCCAAACAGGCCCTTCTAATTGTTAAAGTTGTTTAAATTTAAGTTAGTGGAGCAATCAGATTAGTTTACCGTTTCATAGACTTATCGCTATTAGGCAGGAAAGCATAAGTTGGGTATAATAAGCTGGTAACTATTTCACTCCACGATAAATTCCATTCAGAATCATACATGACTCTGTAAGTGGGTTTTGTACAAGAATTAGCTGGCTTTCCCTATACTTTTTGCGATAGCATTATTATGGAAACTTCCATTTCTAATGAAAGCACATTTTCATACTAGTTGAAAGTCCCTACTACCAAGGTGTGCTTGAAATGACCCATACTTTACGGTGGTAGGAGAGTTTATTACCAAATCCGTTTGTCCCTAAGGAAGACATTTTGTCCATTCTCACCACGACACTTTCACTTTGCAATTAATCCACAAAATCTTTGGCCTTCTTAAGTGTGCCTATGATTTAGAGTTGAGATTAGGAGGCTCCTAGACGTTTTATATCTCAGAACTATCATCCGAAGGATAAATAGTACTTTGATAGAATGGCTAGCGTCGTTTAACACAGACTAAGCTACTCTAAAGTTAATGCCAGATGACTATTTCCTTTTGACGCATATAAGCTGGAAGTGAGCTCTCAAATTGCGATTTACTTTAACTTGGTGTTATCTGATAAACGTGGAGATGGCACACTTTAATAAAAGCCAAACGCAAAGCGTCACGTATTGTTTAGTTGAATAAAGTTGCTTCCTTCACAGTTGCCAATAAGCGAAGTCGCTTAAGGTACCGTAAAATCAATTCGTAAATAAGGCCTTACGACAATTTTGGCAAGTGCATTCTTTTTCAGTTCATCCCAGACATTCCCTACCTTTAGTTAGAATTTGATACAACTTTCTAGCAAGGAAGCTTGTTTTTTCTGCTAATTCCTGCCACATAGGCTCTCTACTATCGGGATGGTGGCTTGTTTTCGATAGAATTTGGGTTTATTCTTTTAGCAGATTGTGGAAATTGTGCATTATCGACAGTTACTTGATCAAACTTGTCCCACAGCTCTTCATATTTCGAATACAAGTAAATGTCGACAACAGAAACCTCAGATAAATCACTGAGCCTTAAATTAAGGTGTTGCCCACGCAAATATTCAAGTAGGCTAAATCCACAAAAGTAGAGTTTGCTTATTTCTTAAGACTAAAGAATGTTTAAATTAAGATTGTATTAAGCATGTCACAATGAGAAAATGTCTTACACTTCCCTTATCCTATTGCTCATATTAGGATTTTAAGAAGAAGTTTGCGAAAATATTCCACAATTTCGAACAACCTTTTGTGTCTTGAAGCTACTGTCTCAATCAAGTACTCTTTAGAGCAAACCCGGCTAAGTATACAACAACAAGAATATATATATATATATATATATACTATATAATTATAATATTATATATATTTATACTTATTCTAAAAATTAGCCTTAATGCTATCAATTAAACAATCTATAGGTATACAGGAAGAATATAAGAATAAGAGGATAGCTATGGTCACTCTGTAATTCGACCAATTTCCAGTAGATAACCTTTTCAGTGCTTTATACATGTCGTGGGTCGGAGAGTTATACAGCATTTTGTGACACAGGGCCATGAAATTTCTGAGAAAAACTTTCATAAACTAAGCAGAATCCAGTGGATCTGCACAACTTGCACTCTATAGGCGTTTGCATTTCCTGGGATAAGAAGTAGAAGACCCATTCTACCATGTTTCCTTCGCGTACCCATCCTACATAAGTCTAAGGCCCAGGAAACAGTAGCTGCCTTGGCAGAGATAATGTTTCAGTGCCCGATTTCCGTCTCCCACCTAATGAAATAGACGCACAGACATAATTGAACGTTTAGGTGGCTTGAATATCATGTATCGACAGGATGCAATATCCCGAAAGGTACCCCTCTCACTACGGATTTCCTAGCTGAATTATGAGGGCAAACACCTTCAAGAAGACCCATTTAAAAATATGCAGATTGAATTGGCCTAATTGAATCTCATTAGGGATAATACCGTTTCTTTGGTCCAGATGTAGTGAGTTGAAACCTACTGACTTACGCATAAATGTGTATCTCAACAAAGTAGGGACAAAGCAGGAAATAAATGAATCGGAAAACGATTTAGATTTTGAAGTTGAGCTAGTCTGTCTATGCGTCTTGGTTAAAATGGAGAAAACTATGCAGCAAAATAGTATCTGGCCATTTTGTTTGAAAGTCATACGATCTCATAGAATCGAAGATGGGCATCGTAGCAATTGTCTGAGCTCGAGCAAGCAGAGCTGAGTAAAGAAATAAAACTCAAATAGCAGATTGTGACAAACCTTTACAGTTCTCGATCTCAATGCTAATCCGCAGCTCATAAAAAGCAACCGAAGAGTGATAGCCTATTTTTTAATGCGTTTCTATGGGGAAGACAACGAGATTTCACTATTCATTCTATTGTGACATCTTTACTGTCACTCTCTGAATCACCTGGAGCGAACCGGAATGTCTAAGGTTGTTATTAAAATAAAATTGCTCGAATTGCAAGAATGCGGACAAATCGCGCCAGAAGACGACGGTTAATTGCCGTTGCACTATAGCCGTTTGGCTTTAATACGACAGCCATGAACTTTTATACGAAACGAAATTATTCATGTAACCCATATTTTGTTTGCATTTACATGAAATAATCAGCTTCTGGAAGAAGTCCTTTGCTTTCATTTCAAAGAAAGTATTGAGGGGACTTGTAGGACTTGTAATCTTCTCACTTTTCTCAATGAGTTTGTTTTCTAAGGTCAGAATGA